GTGTGAGGGCCAGGCCGTGGGCTAGGGTATGGGTCCCACTCCTTCTGGGTTGTGGTGCTGAGCACTCAGCCCGCCCCTCTGTCGTGACATGCAGGAGGGGTCACTCGCCATAGCGCTAGAGGAGGGGGCTCCTCCAGGACCAGTCCCTCCCCTGAACATCTTCCTAGGGACAGTGCCAGTTTGCATCAGTGAGGATTTAACCCACCTGTGACAGAGGTAGTGCAGAGGAATGGTAATGGGCTTAATAAACCAGCCAAATAAGACTTGATGAAAGTGGCTGTAGTAACGCGCAGAAATGTCCTTCAGTGGAGCAGCGAGAGAACACCAGCTGGGAGCCAAGCCTCACCTGTCGGTGACTAAATCTTAGGCTGGGTTACACACCAAAATGGCCCAGAGATCCCCACCAATCCGTATGAAGTGGGTCAGGAGAACAGTGCGACAAGCTAGCGGAGGAGTTAAATGAATCTCTTGCATCATGTCTGCTGCTGAGAGTCATGTAGAAATTCCTGTGCCAAAGGCACTTTGCAAAGAAAATCAGAGTGTGGCCTTTATACAGATTGAAGTCTCTAAGGAGGAAGTTGTAGAGTAACTTGAGAAACTCAAGTGCAGTAAATCACCACAACCGGATGGTGTTCATCTGGGAGTTCTGAGGGGAAATAAAGTGAGAAAAAGCCAAGATACTGACAAGGGGATGCCTTCTTCCGTTGAAAAATGCAGCAGCACAAGAAGGCTGGGAAGCCCTATTATGTTCCCTGTCTTCAAAAGGAGATGAGGAAAATCCTGGGAATTGCAGAGCTTTGAAGTTTACCACAGTTTTAGGGAGCCCAAGAAACCAGTTCTGAACAGCAGTTCAAGAGAGAGTTTGTTGGACAGGAACACCCCATGAGGATGTCTTCAGTCTCTCAAACCACTGAGGCTGTTAACAAGGGGGAAAAGTACCTCCCAGTAGGAGTGGAGTACGTTGAAAAACCAGTGGAGCAGCCTTCAGAGGGAGAGTGGAATAACAGGAACTTCTCAGAGGAAGGTAACCAAGTGATCCAAATGTTCAAAAGTTTTTGCAGCGGTCACTGATAAGCAATTGTCATAGAGGATGTTAAGAAATGAAACTGAGGAAAGTATCTTGAAGATTATTTGGTCCTGAAATGATCTACAAATCAGGCCAGAGGAAGTGAATATGGAAAGCATTTCTTTTTCTAGTGAAAGGAAAGGTGAACACCCAGTAGTGGGTATTAGAACTAGCGTCATAACAAATAAACAAATCTGAATCCCAAATCCTAATGCATTCCAAATAGCGTATCCAGAATTCACCCTAGATCTGTCTCCAAGTCTCACATGTGGTTCCCATCTTAAACGAAGATTGAAACTCCTTGGGCTCTGAGGTTTGAATACTCCATATCCAAAGATTATAGCTTCAGCCTACAGTTACATACAAAATATGGGGAGCGGGAGGAGTGCATGTGTACACATAGCATGCAAAGGAAGCAATTAAATGTAAACTCAAAACAATTTAAAAAGTGATTCATGGCAGAAAGTGCTCTGATGTAGAGATGGCATTACGTGAGTATTTGCTCTTGACATTAACTTGCTGCAGCTAGCTGAAAGGGCAGAAGATTACGAGTAATAGGAGAGTGGGAAATTTGCTGTGTTTGGTGAGCCCGCTTACAATCAAACATTTTAAATTATCTAGATTTACATGGCTTCGTACCCTTTCAGTTTCTCTCCTAGGTTGTTTTTTTTTTTTTTGTTCCTGCAGGCCTAGTGCACTGTAGGCAAAGCTACTTCAGTTTTAACTCACTGTCTCTTTTGAATTCATTAGATTATGAGAGCTTTCAAAGGAAGTCAGAGGTAGGAATTAGACAAAATATAGAAAGTGGGACATTTCTGACTGCTTGTATGCTTTCAGAGTCTAAAAAGAAAGCTTTTTTTTTTTTTAAAGCAAACTGTAGGAGGGCTTGTAAAAATAGATATTTACATTTACATAATGGGACAGATCCTCAGCTGCCATGGAACTGTACTGCTCCATCATCTTGAACAGAGCTAACCCTAGCTATCACAGCTGAGAACCTGCCTCTCATGCGTGTGCACGTATGTGTGAAATATATTTAGGATTCTATATTTTTCCAAATGTAGAGAAGCTGCATCTTCCTCCAGGTGCTTTTGCCTGTGCACTAAGTTGTGAGAGTTAAAGCTCCTCTGTTTTTAACTAAGGGTGGTGTCTTCAGGGAGGCAGGGTGAGGAGGAAGGGTGAAGTACAAGGAGAAGGACGTTTTCACAAAGGAACCAGCATGAACAAGCAATCCCAGAGAAGAAGGTGGGGGAGAGAAACAGGAAAGAAAATGATGTCCCACATAGCCATGCTTTGGTCTAAGGGCATTACTTCTTGCCAGCAACTGAAAACCAAGCAATATCTGCATTCACAGAAACAGGAAAGAAAATGATGTCCCATATAGCTATGTTGTGGTCTAAGGGCATTACTTCTTGCCAGCAACTGAACACCAAGCAATATCTGCATTCACAACAACAGGGAGTTAAACTGTGACTGAGCAGCAACCATGACTTTTGGAAAACACCTCAGGTGTTTCCTGCTAGATAGCAGGAATAGCGGGAGACCTGCTATTGATAGCAAGGGGGAGAAAAGGCAGTTCTGCACTCAGCTGTGCTGTTTCTGGAGTCATGTAACACAGGACAGAGAGTACGTGTCACATCAGATAGTGCTAATAGGTGCCAACAGCCACCTTCACTCCTTCCCCCCTCTGTCTCTCCCTGTGTCAGAGTCAGGTGAATATCGATGTGGAACAACTGTGTATCGCAGCGTGCTTCTGCCCACACAGTGGGACCCTGGTAGTGATGCAGGCAGAACTGGACTCTGGACACATAATGTACACTGAATATCCATAATAAATAATAATTACCACAGTAGGGGGCAGCAGCCAGCTGTGGAGGAAAAGTAGGGCCAGCTGCTGGAAGAGATGTAGACACTGGCTGAGCATGCAAGCTGGGCACTGGGGAGGGCGAGAGGGCCATGGCTGGGAGCCAGTGGCAGCTTAATGCCAAGAAGAGGGAGATAAAAGCACAAAAGAGGTTCACCAGAGGGATCTGCTCCTGGCCACCCCTCAGCAGTCGGTAGCAGCCCTGGTCCAGGAGGGAAGGCTGATGGCAAACAGGAGCATCGCCAGCCAGAGCGCATGGCCAACACTGCTCACACGTACCGTGCTGGAGCTAGCAGGGCGGGTGTCAGTAAGCCAAGCAAGCCTGCCACAGGGAAGTAGCCCTGCACAAGCCTCTGGTTTGCAAGAGCCACGCATGCTCCAGAAATGAGCACAGACTCATCCCGTTCCCCTCAGCATCTCCCCAGAGGCACCTCCAGCTGAAGCAGGGCCAATGCTCCTGAAATGAGTACAGCTCCCCAGGAGACTGATGGGCACCTGGCCAATGCTTTTCTGAAGCACCCTCATGACCAGGTCTCCTTGATTACTTTTGGAGAGAAGAGTCCAGGCAGTTCGGATGATCCCCAAACAGCAGCACTTCTAGCTGTCTGAATTCCTCTAAAGGTCTGACACTTAGCACTTGGGGTCCCCAGGTGACATAGTAAATGAAAAACTGCTTTTGAACACATTGCACACACTCAGTAGTCCAGTCCTACGACTAAAATTTATCACAGATTTAAAATATCTTTCTAACCACCCTGAAAAGTCATTTCTAAGACCAAATCAGTTCACCAGCCTCATTTTCACAAGGTTGTTCTATGCATGCTCCCCACATACTGACTTCTCAGCAAAGTCAGTAGCATTCCAGGGTAAGCTCCTCTACCTGTCTCATATGTAACACTTAACTATTTCACTAGCATAGCATAACAATTAATTAGTGCACGTTCTGTCCAGTAATTATAAGAATGTGTCGCATCTCACTTGAATTTATCATAGTGAAATCTAGCTTTACTTATATTCATGTCTTATCTTCAAGCTTGCTTTCTGTGCCTGGTTATTTTTCACTGAGTTCAAATGCAAATAGATAAACCCTGTTTGCATTTCTTTCCAAAGGAGGAACATGTTTATTTCCAGATTCTATTTGCATCCACCAGGAAAAGTCACACAGGACAACTGAAGTAATTTTTTTTGCTGTGTTCGTACTTGGCTGAGCATAGTGGGTGTGATGTGGGTGATGTTAAAGGGAAGCCACTTTTCCTCCACTTTTCAACAGAGAGGCTGAGGGAATTTTTTTTGTCCCAGTAAAAAGAAACAGATACTGTCTGGATCTCAGTTTATGTAGCCCACAAGAGAGCAGAGAACTCGATAGAGGACAATCTCAGGCAAATAAGGTACACTATCAGGGAGAAACATCCATCATTTTTGCAGGTAGTAGCCAAGCATAATCCATGTGTGAGCTCAAATGCAAATTCATGGGGAACAAAGAGCCTGTATGTTAAATATATATGCAGTTCAAACATAAAGAACCAGATTCTTTCCGAATAACTTTTATCTGAACATCTGACCTTAAGAATCAGCCTCAGTTAAGTGCTGGCAAACACCAAGATTTGGAAGGAAGTTAGGGGTGTTGCACTATTTTGAAAGCTCTGTTTTGAACCAGCTGTCATTACGAATGTCTGCTGGTACCCCGTCTTAGCATACAGCCTGTCACTGTTGAGCATAATGGGAACGAGCCAATGAAGTGTATTGAGCTCTGCTTTCTTGCATGTCTTTGTAGCTCAAATTATCCCTTCACACAGCCATAACAGGTAAGCTTTGAGTCTATTTATGCCACATTCTAATTGGTTCCATTTAATTTGTGTATGTCTCTCTATGTGTGTTTGTATATACATATATGCATATTTATATGCACATATGTACATTTGGACATCATTATTAAATGTAAATATGCATATTGTCACAGATTATTGCTATGTTCATCACAGATTCTTAGAGTAGTTTTCTTTATTATACAATAAAACAACCGTAGAAAGTTAATGCCTTCTTTGGAATAAATAAGGGACACAAGACTCATTATGCCATATATGTTTAATGGTTTGGACATCTCAGTGCCCACATGAAAAAAAGGAAACATATATTGCAATAGGCAGTATAATTATTTCAGCAAGAAACTTCCATCCCACATGCCCCGAAATATGAGATTCAGCATCACGAGATCCTAGCATTATGTCATCAGCTGCATGAGTTTCACAGCTTATCTTTCTGATTTTATGTTACAGAAGTAAACTCCAACAAAAATGTATAACACTGCCAATTTAACAGCACATTTATGTTAATACCAGCTGAAATGGTTTCAAGAAGGTGAATAGGATCAGCATTTTTGTACGTATGTGTGCACTTACATATATACACATATGCATACACACACACATGCACATATAAATGCATGCATGTATGTGTGTGCACTATGAATATAAACTGTCTTTAGAGATGTCATTATTTTAAAAGGTTGATTCCAAGTACATTAAATGTGAAAACAATGTTCCATACAGTTGACCAATTTAAAGAAGCCCCTGCTGGTGCACGGAAGACCGAGCTAGCTGATATCATTAAACATCATCAGATGAGGCTGCAGGTAGATGAAACATTCCTTAATGAAAATTTAAAGAGAGCAGATTAAAATGATATTCCTCCAATCCAACAGAACACAAAGGTAAAGACATTCAATTGCAACCAAGATCTCATTTAGCACTAAGAGAGTGTTGTTTGTTGATCAGAATTTATTGCCTAAAATGAACAGCTAGGCTTGTGACTATGTATGTAATTACTTTCTACAATGTACTCTCCTAGCACTCAGATATAGTTATAAAAGATGACGTCTTCCATAATTTTAGACTGTGATGCCCATGACCAAGAGTTAGAAAATCTCAACAACATCAACAAACGTATTTTTATCTGCGCTAGTCTATCTCCTAACACCGTGAGAAATAAAAAAAAAAAAAAGTCCATAATGACATGTATCTGTTTTTTGAACTACTAGGTTAACTGTGTTAATAGGGTTTTGTTGGCCAATAGAGTAAGAGGCACCAAGGACGTTGTTTGAGCAGGGTACTCTACCTGCGTGTCTGTCCAGAGCACCAGCAGCTTTCCCCTGGGCACATCAGGAAGGTTTTTCAGTGAGTAGACATTGAGGGTGCTCAGCTCTATACCAGACCTGTCATTAGTTCAGAGAAACACATCACATCTCTAAAATCTCATAACTAAAAAAGATACTGACAGGCAGGACCGTGAAAAGAGGAGAGGAAGAAAAACCAGGAGACTGAAAGGACTGATTTATTAGGGAAGCTTAAATGAGCTGAATAGCTGGGGGTTGGCCTAATGCTAATTAAACACAAAATTACACTAGTTAAAAGATGCTGGAGGAAAATAACGTCTATAAAGGAAAAGGAGATTTGCAAAGGGACATAACTAGGAGAAATATGACAATGTTAAGAAAGGAAAAAAAACTTCTGACAACAAGATACTCTAGGCAGCACAATCTCTCCCTAGGGACATGGCATCACTTAGGACATTTAATCTAGGCACACAAAACAACTGAAAATATGCCATAGGAAACAATCTCACGGTGTCAGGGAGCTGTACTGGATGACCTAAAAGGTACGTTGCTAATTTGTGTGCACCTGTTATCTGTGATTTTCCTTGCTTGTATGGCCAACTTATTGTTACTTGTGTGTATTTGGTTTCTCTGGGCCCAATCCAACTCATGCTGTAGTCAGGAGAAGTTTCCGACAGGAGCAATAGGACCTCAATGCCTTTTCTATGTCTTCACTGTTCTGAAAAGAAAATCAATCAAAAAAAACCAAACCAAACCAAAACAAACAAACAAAACAAACAAACAAACAAACAAACAAAAAAAAAACAACAACATCAACAAAAAAAAAAACCTACTCTGCGAAAACTATTAATGTATGCTGTGTATGACTGTATATACAATTAAACCTGATTGGTCCCTTAATATTTCTTGGATATTTAAACCTGTGTTTATCCTTAGAGATATCTGGTAAAATGTGCATTTGCTTTCATAAAGTGGAGCTAAAATGTTTGCTAGAGAAGAAACTTACAGTTTGTCTAAAAATAACTTCTGATGAAAAACTGCTTTGGTCACGGAAGAATTAAGACAATTCTTTATACTAAACTAAAAAAAAAAAAAACTTATATATTACACAGAAATGGAAGATCTCTTTCCACTGCTAAAGCGGTAATGAAACAGATGAAAGAAAATAACAATGAATTCTGAACTCAAGACTGTAGTTTTCAAATAATTTTACCCAATATCTGAGTGTATATAATCATATGATGCCTAAATTCCAGCTCACTTGCAGGTAGGGAATCACTATTTTGTGGCAGCTCAGTGTTGGCCCCTTGAGAGGCACAAATTTCTGTGTAAGTGAGGCTGAATGTTCAAGGGTCAGGGCTGTGTGTTGGTGTTGTCCATATATCTAGCAGCTGGTATTGTAAATCTTTAGAGCAGCGTTTCTCGAAAATACTAAACAGACATTTTGGTAGCCAGTATTGAGCCTGTGGCTATACTGCTTCGGGCTGTGATCTTGTCAGCTTTTACAAGATAAGTAGGGTCAGGCAGGGTCAGAGCTGGGATTAGTAACTCTAAGGAAAGGCGGTAGCTGCAGGAAGTGTCTTAGGCAATAGAATAGATATAACTGTTTTCCCTGAGCCTTTTCTAATACCCTGATGAAGGCATAACACCCAGCTGTGACACCAGAGTGAGATCCTCACCCTCTGCAGTCAAGTGCCTCATTTTCCAAGGGGTCTTCCCCTGACCTGGAGTGGAGGCGTACGGTAAACAGGAGACCACAGACCTCAGGTACCACTTGCACGTGTGCACGGTCCTAGTTGAACGGCGTGTAAATGCATGTTTCATCAGGAAGGGGGTACAGCTGAACAACATTTCTGACATCTCCGAGGATGGTGGCAGCTCCAAATTAAGTCTTTGGCTGTGTTTATGAAACAAAAGACAAGTCTGTTGAGCCAAGACCTTGTACACCAACTTTCAGCCTCACGCATTTCTACAGAAAGTATAGAAGGGCTGATAATGAAATCCTTGCCCAATGGTCTACACTACCAAGAATTTTAAATTGTACGTTAACCAATTTCTCCTCTAAAGTTCAAACAATAAATAAAATTCTATGTGAAAAATGGAGCCTTTTATTCCTTTGTCAAAATCTGATCAGAGTAAACTACAGATGTTAAAAGGCACTGCAGTTCAAAGAATTAAAAAGAATCTTATGGGGTTTGCACGAAGAAAAGAGTTTTAGAGAATAATATGGAAAATATTATAATGCTATTATATAAATCAGTGGCACATCCTCACTTTGAATACCGTCTTCAAATTTGGTCACCTCATCCCTGAAAAAAGAAAGTAGAAATAGAACAAGTCCAGAGAACAACAATAAAAATGATAAAAGTCACAAGGATGGGATATTTCTTGAGAAGAGATAAAGAACACAAGCACCAGCTTGTCTCTCAGGGAAGACTGACCCTCATGGGACTGCAAATCGTAGATGAACCTTCTCCAGAAACTTGGAACAAGTGTTGTTGCCTGAGATAATCTAAATGTTCTTGGACCCTAGCAGTTCTCCTGGAAGAATCTGGGCCCTTGTATGAGACAGGCGTTGCAGAAATTTTCCTCAGTGTACTCTGTTCTGTTAGAGGCCTTTCAGTCACTAGCAACCAGTGTGACATGTGGACAGTGGACAGGACACAGAGCCACAATATTTGAAACATCTTTTTTCCTTTACTGACTATATCCCAAACTCATTTTTCGGTCTCAGTTTTAGAAACTTCGCGTTTCCATACCTTTCTTTCAGACGTTGGATAAGTTTTTCAGAAAAGCATAGGTGATTTGGAGGTACAAATCCATTGACTTGCCTGGCAATCTTTTCAGTTAAATCACTCGGCTTCCTTGAAAATGTGCCATTTGTCTATTCAAATAGTCTCAGCCCCAAAGGACCTGCACAGTCTCCCTCACTTTGTGCGCTTGGATCCCCAGGCTTCATCAGAGCTCTACTTAAGCATGACTATAATATAAATAACATTTCATCCTCATGATCTTCCAACCTAATTAGCAGCAAAGGAAAAAAGAAAACCTTTCCTATCCTGCAAGGTGAAACGAAGAGGTATCAAATTTCAAACGGATAAGAGGTATTGCTTTTCCAAACAATGTACAGTTAATTAATGGAACTTGCTGCTGCACGGATACTACTGAGAGAAACAGCATCATATTTGTAAATGAGGAGGCATTTTTAGGCATAAAAGCAAACCTTCGCTGAAAGTTCAGATTGGGTTAAATTCAGTAGCATGTATTATGCAGAAGATGAGATTAGATTATAATAATGGTTGCTCTTACCCTTAAAAAAATCTGTGACAGTTTTACTAGCTTGTATTATGTAATAATGTCTAATCATCCCAGCAGTACTTGACATATGTCAGTCAATAGACAGGGTCAGGAAGGCATCTTCGTCCATGGTAAACTGTTACCACTGTTAAACGCGCAGTGAGGAGGGAGACTGTCCTTTCATTTTGTCTGGTATTGGCCTCTGTCAAAATCAAGGCATTTAGGATTGACCTGCGCCAGTGCCCGCTAAGAGGCAGCCAGGAAGGAGTCCTATTATTCTCAGAGTAACTGCAGAGCATCACTGAACGTCTACATATGGGAAGTGAGGGGCTGTCTGACCTACTGACGGATTATCAGGGTAGGTGTGGATTCCTACGCCGGGTCTTCAGAGGATCCGGAAAGACTAGGAGGCTTTTCAGACTGGTGGCTGTTCATGTCTCTTTCTAGAGCTGGAGAAATCCTTTCTCCTCCAATCCTGTGTGGGAACCCTGGAGGCAGCAGTCATATTCATGCTAGGAGGGTGTGCCTTACAGCCCTGCCTGCAGATCAGGAAAAAGCAGATCAAGATCAATAAGGTCTTGGGCAAAAGAGGTTTGGAGGAAGGTGAGGAAACCAAAGGGTCAATGGCTGCAATTAGCCTTATCTTTTGATCTATGTGACAGCACACCCTGGAGTCCTAGTGCCCCACCACCCAGACCAGCGTCCCTCGGAGTGTCCACAGTACCTGTCTAAACACAGGCACACCCACAGGAGCCTATGGAGATGTAAGGCCCATCCTCAACTGCCCATGGCTGAATTGTACAGCTGAACCTCAGAAGCAGGACCATGTTCCCCATGGGCAAGTAGTCTGTGGTGTCTCTGGCCCTCTTTTATGCTTCAGATATCCTCAGATGGGGGCAGGGGCCAGGAGGTCTCATTGGTCCTGAGAAATGTTACTTTATTGTGGTGATGCACGATAGGTATCTGGTTCATCTCTGAACTGTTAAAAAGATGTTAATGCTAACAAGTGACCAAGAGGATAGAGGACCTTTTTTCCATGACTGCACTTACCTGCAACTTTGGTCATCTCGCAGGCCCCGCAAGAAGTCAGGGAGGATGTCTTCTAGGGAATAGCTGTGCTAGAGTCATTTCAGTTGTGGGAAGTTGTTTCAGCCTTGTGGGTTGGAAAAGTTATCTATTGGGGGAAAAAAAGAAAAGAAAAAAAATTAAAAGGAGTAAATCACCTCATTACACTAGCAGTTTTACACCAGCAATCTGTACTTTTGTATAAAGAGAGAGTATATACATAAAGTAAGCAAAAAATGCACAAGCAGTCGTGATTCCAGGATGTTTGCAATGGCAAGTTAGATTATAAATTATTTCTTTGGGGGGGGCAGAAAGCACAGTGGAAAAAATTTATATTATTCATAAAAATGATTGTCCTGTTCACTTGTATACCTCTGCAATTTATTCCGTAACAGCTTTTTACTTCAAAGAAATCACTAGCTAATGACATCTCAAACTTAAAAAAATCCACTTATTCACAACCCTGTCCCTGAGGGAATTCCCGCGTGTTATCAGAAATTTTTCCAAAGATCATTAACAGATATTACAAACCAATTGAAACTGAGTATTTTCTTTGCAAATTACTTTTAACTTTAGAGCTATTGAAAAAAGACATTGAGTGATTTAATTTACTTAATCTGTCTACAGATTGCAGCTATGTGCATATCCTGTGATTGCATTTCCAACAAAAAGCATATATAACTATCCCTAATAGAGATATTTTTCTAAATTATCGTACAAGATCAGTAAGATCTCTGAAGATATTAATGTTTACTTTTTCATTTAGAAAATTGCACTCAAGAAAGAAATGGGCACCTTTATTCTGTTGTTATCTTAGAAATAATAACACACCATAATACTTATTTTACCTGCTATTTTAATTAAAATTCCAATAATCATCACGTCTGTATATCCTTTGAGGATATGTTCCACCGATTTTTCTGAAAAATCACTGTGTTCTCATTAGGCTGTGAAGCCAATATTTTAGAAACACCTTATGCAGCAATGAGTATACCAAACAAGATCCTCTATCTTGTGCCAATCCGAAACAGCGAAGTGTAGAGCAAGTTAAATCAGCAGAGGAGGGCTGGAGAAAGTGTCTTTTTCTCCACCTTACCGCCTTAAACTCCTCCCAGAGAACCTTAGGCGTATCAGCACCACTTCTGCAGGAAGTATGGAAAATATCTTCCCCCATTAATATTTAGTTTGTGGCTTCCTGGTTAAGGCTCCTGCTTTCTTTGCAGATAAGAAATAAGGGCCTGAACCCCCTGAAGCTTAGGTGGACTTCAAAGGTATTTACTTGGAATGACAGTGAAGACGGCTGCTGTACTTTTTGTGCTGCTCGGTCCCAATTGCGTACCTCGTGCTTTGCCAGATCGGTCTTTGAAGAGGCGTGGGCAAAGCAATGCGCGTTTTGAGGAAACAAATCAGGATTAGCTGCTGAGAAGCTCAGCTCCGCTGAGCTGGTGACTGCCTGGCCAAGAGGCATGAGCAGAAGGAGGATGTTAGATGTCCCGAGATCTTTATTAGCAAAAATGCAGGTGATGGACTTAGGGTGTATGTATATTGGGATCCTGGACCTGGACGCTGATATCCCACACAAGTCTCAGTTATCTCCTGTGGTGGCTTTGGGCCCAGAGATGGCTACTCAGAGAACAACCCAGATTTGTCACAGCAGATAGGTGCCTAAACATCTTTTCATATCTTCCTTAAAGTGGTGGGAGAAGTGTGCACAGAGGGTGACAGAGGATTTGCAGGTGGTGACTACTGTTGCACGTCCCCCAGATATCCTGCCTCTTCCCATCAGCTGGGGCAGAGCCCTGGGACCAGCCTAAAGATCATTTCATTCTCAGTACTATTTAACTCTCACTCTCCTGCTGTTTTCCTTTCCTGGGTTACAGCAGAAAGATCTCACAATGAAAATAAATTTTTTCACAGTGCACCAAAAAGCATGGGGTCGGCTGACTTGAGCCAATTTTGAAACTCTGTCAGTAGTTGTAAAGACTACTCCCTGAGCGACCTGAGGTCCAGGTCTGTCCTGTGAATGTTGAAAGACCAGAAATCTTTACAAAGGTCCCACAGCATTAACTTGACAGCTTGTTGCTTTCCACCATCCTGTGGTGGCAGGTGGGCATGAGAAAGGAGACGGGGTGGCTGCTGTTGAGCAAGGAGTATCTGCACAGGTTATTGGCTTGGGTTCAACCCATGCTGCGCTCAGATAAGTGGAAAGGAAGGATGGTACGTTCTTCCTTTCTTCTGGTAAACGTGCAGCCTCTCAAATTTGTCACGTTCCTGCTCTTCATTCACCCACATGACCTGCTCAAGGCACTTCTCTAGTCACGGCCCGAACCCCTCGTTTACAGCCATAATAGCCCCGAGGGTGTCAGTAGTTGCCACTGTGAAATCTCACTGCTTTTTAGCATCCCCCTCTTTTTGGGGGTGCCTCCCTCACCCTTCTGTCACACAAGTGCAAGTGGCATTACAGTGTCAGTGCAGAAGGTGCACCCAGAAAGCCAGAGCCCCAACACATTTATCACTGGCTTTTGCTTCGCACTAGCAGTTCAACTTCTCATTCGTACCCGGCTCCGGGGATGAGTCTATTCAGTGCTGGACCATCCTCCCCCTCTTCTCTCCCTCCCCCCCACCCCCAGGTGCCTTGTGCTGCCTGCGTTTTAATACAGCCGGCTGCCCCGTGCTCTGGGGCTCCTTCTGCGTGGGGACTGGCAGCAGAAACCACCACCGTGGCTCCGTCAGGGGTGACGTGGACTTTCCACCTGTGGGCACCGGGCGCTGCGCCATCGGCTGCCAAACTGGCATGGCTCCACCGGCCACGGCAGCTGAGCGCCTCTGTTGTCACTCAACCCGGGACGTCTCCGTGGAGTCTGATAACACATCTGTTAATTAATGCCAGTTGTGATCATTGGTCAGATCCTCAGCTGGGATAAATTCACACGGTTCCATTTAAACCTGTGACTATTAGTGGCGGCTTAAAGCTGACCCGGTGGGTTTTTTTATAACATACGTCTTGTTGAAAGTGAATAAAACCTACCAAGCAATTGCATATAAACTACCAAACAGTCAGAAAATGAAATGATTGTCGGTAACTCCCAGCCCAGGACAAATTACAATGGTGACAAAGAAGTGATAGCCCCAGTTATGTTAACAAGTCTCTGAGCTATCCAAGCTCCTTATAATAAAAATAATTAATAATAATAATAGACATGCTTCTGGATACATTCACCTTTCTGTAAGGAAAGCTTAATGAGTCTGTCTTTTAAAAAGGAGATTATCGGGAAATTCAAATGTGATTCTATTAACGTGTAAGCATGGCTTTTTATATTTTAACAATTGAACAGATAAATCCTATTCTTGAATTCAATTTTTAAGTCTTATAAGCAGATCCAGAAAATGAAAAGGAACAGTCCAGGAACTTTCTCTAGATTCACTTTCTGACGTTTGTCAAAATTTCATTTTGATCAATACTTCCACCCTGTTAGGTTGTATCACCAATCCTCTCAACCATAGTAAGCAAGGCTGTAGCAGCTTTAAATCCTAACTAGAGGCAAGTAAGGCACTCCTGGAAATAAAGCAAAAGTTTGATAGGTTGTGTTAAAAGGAACTCCTGTTATTATTATAATTTATTATTTGTTAAGCACTGACAGTGTGCTCAGTTCTGCTGATTAAGTTCTTCTGAGCAAGTTCTATTGATTAGCTTCTAAGGACAACACACTGTACTACAAAGAAGATATGTGACAGCTATCAAGACTTTCGCTTTCAAGGCTCACTTAGCAAAACAATTACATGCCAGTTATGCAGGTTTTATGAAAAAAAAAAAAAAGAGAGAAAATGCATAAACTGAGTAAATATCATGACTTTTGTGTTCACTAATTTTCCTACTCCAGATCTCTCACTTCAGTACTGTCTGACAACCTCAAAGTCGCACTGAGATTTGAAGGAGATCTAAAGCCTCATCCTTGCTTATATTCAGTTTTAAGTATCATGCTATATTAAAGGCAAGCACACAGGTTGTATTGTTAGGAACCGCCTTTGGATTTGGGACTCAGTCCCCAGGAAGGGATAAATAGGGACCAGCCCGAGACAGACAAGAATCTGAGCAACTTCAGACACAGACACATATTTCCTTCACACCACAGGTAAGATTGGATAGAGTTAGCCAGTGCTCCCCTCGTAGGTGGTGACCTGACCTCAGAAAGACTTTTGGGAGTGCAGGTGCTAAAGGGGAGCATCTTTCCTGTCCTGCTGGGTCCTTGCTAGGCTTCCAGGGCTCTTTCTCCAACAGACCTGTTGTTGAGTCTCTCCACCCTGAGCTATGGTCACAATTTTGCAGGGCATTAGGAGTCAGGATGTTGGGTTTGTGCTGGTCTGGAGCCACTGTAGCAATTCTATTCCTGAGAGACCAAGTGAACTTTGTGCCTGTTCTACTTTAGCATGTAAAGGAATCACAGTCTCTTCCTCCACCCTTACCCTTAGATCCTTTACATTCAGCTTACCTCCAGAGTGGCAAATTCCCCAAACCACACATTTGATGGCAAAATAATGCATATACGTCTGTGTGTACGTGGCAGGGGACGGGGCTGAGGGCTGGTTTAAGGACCACTGGCCAAATTTCCATGTCAGGAGGGTGCCAAACAGACCCCGTCCCTCACCCCTGCCGGGCAACACCTAGGCTTTCTAACCGCAGTGCTGCCAAAGCTCCAGCTGTGCAGATGTTCTTAGAAGAAAACCTCCCTTTTGTCTGTCACTATCCTCTAGCCTGCACACTTCCCTAAATCCCACCAGCATGCTTTTTTTTTTTTTTTTTTTTTTTGTAACTGACAGAGAGAAGTGAGTTCTTATATAAATCCTTTGTGTGAAGATCAAACTGCGTGCATGTAGAACTATTATTTTTTTTTTTTTTTAGGGGAAAATCTGCCCTAAAATAATCATTCCGTGTTATCCCCGCAGAGCGTCTGCGCTGCCTTTTAAAATGCATCCAAGGCCACCCCCCAGGACCAGGCTCGGGGCTGGCAGGCAGCGGGCTGCAGCTGAACTCTCGGTGCCTGCGGGGAGGGCAGAGCGTGGGCAGCCCCGGGGCAGGAGCGGGGTCAGGGGCAACGCAGCTGGAAGGGGCCGTAATCTGAGTTGCTCCTTGCAGACAGTGTCAGCCTTTGTACTGAGAGAAACTTGCGGGGCAACGCAGGAGCCCGGTGTGGGGCATGTGAAAAAGGTGTTTCCTTACCTAGCCAGCTTGGACTCCTCAAGCATCCAGCTGGCAGAGCCTGAGGTTTCAGTCAAATCTTGTTAAGTTAACGTTAGTTTACTAACAGACCCAGGAGTGGAGGATTTGGTTGAGAAAACATAGCCTTTCATTCATAAACTCGGAAAGCCTTGTAATGGAGAAAGGAGAATCAGCAAAAATGATCCGCTGATTACAGTACTGTTGGGAAATTCTTTAAAAAAATAACGACTAAAGAAGAAAGCCCCCTAATGACAGCAGGTTTAGGATCAATTTCAACGTGGCTTGTTGTCTGACTATTTAACAGTTTGACTACCAGCTAGAAAAATGACCAGGTATTAGGCAGACTGAAGCCCCCATGCGTGACACCAAGGAGTAGCACGACTCACTGTAGCAGCATACCTTTGGGAAAGTCCCTCTCCCCGCCCTTATTTCGCTCTTTCTGTTCTTTTTTCCCTTCTCGTGCTCCCAATTTTCTTGAATACGATATAGTTGACGTTTTACTCCCAACCCTAATTTTCCCAGAAGGTGCAGCTCTTAAAAAGCAGCACAGGTTCTTTTACTCAGGACCGTAAAAATGGACTCGCACTCCAGTGCAACCATCCAAAAGACTGATGAAGCAATTCCATTAAAATAAAAACATTCTACCTGTGCCCATCCCCCAGCATAGTTTCAGCCAAAGCCAGAACTAAACCCTAATCTAGCCTTTATTAAAGTGGAGAAGAATCAACTTCCTTTTATTCCCCCATTCATTTTCTGCGGCTGTGATTTTCTGAATTTCAGGCAAGGCCGTGACCGAGAGCTGCAGGGCCAAAAGGGGCTGGATGTGCTGTATTCTTGGCCCAAATGGAAGCAGGAAATACTAAACATCTTGCATGGAAGCCTGTTCTCATCAGGTTTATAGCCCAGCATTTTCCATCAAAAGCAGTGAGGATGGTACAGACACAGTTCAGAAATGCATCCAAGCATATGGGAGTATATCTACACTAATCCTCCTTTTGAGCTTCATCCAGCATTAAATCAGAGCCACACCGGAGAGAGGAATAATGCAATAACTTGTGGAAAAGGCATGGTTCCTCGCTATTAGGATGGGGAAAATTAAACAACATGACTCACTTTTCTCTTTAAAAAGTGTAGGAGGAATGTTAACAGCACAAAGCATGGCAGAGACTGGAAAAACCAAAAGTCAGGTATCACTTTTACTTGCCTGCCCTGTGGCCGTGGTGCCCGTGCACTGCAGGCTACACACCGCAGGGCAGTCACCGCTGGGACCGCACAGCACCGGCAGCCTCGGAAGGGTAACACGATAACTGGACGGGTGGCAAAACTCACCTGCGAGACTGCAAGAACACTTTTTTTTTGGCAGGGTTAACCCACGCCGTGCTCACAGCGCTGTGACTGCGGCCACCGCCCCGAGACATCCCCTGAAAGCGTCGCCGCATGCGTTTCGGGGGAAGAAGGGACGCGTGGCCTTATTCTCCCAGCCAGAACACAGGGTGCTCTGTCTGAAGGAGGGAAAGGGCTTTGCTGAGCTCCTCGGAGGACAAGAGGGCCCTATGGCCATGGCGAGGCCCGAAGGGTGTGCCATCGGCGCTGGCTCGGGCCGGGGAGCAGAGCTGGCAGCGCAGTGACACCCCGCTCCCCGTCACGGGCTCTGGCCTCACCTGCCGAAAACAAAAGCAACAGAAAAAGCTGCAAGACACGATCTGCACCAAGTGCTTGAGGTGGTCTAGCAGCGGTAGCAGATGCTGACCAGGGCTCAGCCCTTCATCGCTTTTTCCCTGTGCCCAAAGCAAAAAAAAAAAAAAAAAAAAAAAAAAAAAAATACATTTTTCTAACAAGCATAACCATGCTCCGCAGCCTCCAAACGCCTCTCTCTGGACCTCAAACGGGGGACAGAAAGAAAGATTTCAACTGAGCTTGCTGCAGGAGAGCTGATGGGTTAGGGAGCTTAAAAAGATCTGTCAGCTGACAAAATTAGGTGGGTAGTTAGGGGTGTAAGTTAGGAGAGGTTTTGGAAAACTAACTAGGGACAGGAAAAAATAAATATAGCTCCACACACACGTGCAGAGCCAACCTACCGCTCGGGCAAACAGCCTATTGTTGCCACACATAAAAATCCTCAAAATTCTTGATCACATTTATTGCCTTGTCCTGATTAAAACTGGAAGAAATCATATTTAACTCTTTTCTTAAGAAAGAAATCAGTGTATGACTCGGTGCAAAACCCTGTAAAACATCCAGTTCTTCAAAATTACTGACCAGAACCTCGTCTGGCGTAACTCAGCCTCACTATGTTGACATCTACAAAGCAGAGCATCTTTACCCCAGCTTAAGATCTGCCCCCATATGTTGTTTCTTTCAAACAACTTGTCTTCCCCCCCCCCTTTTTTTTTTTTTCACAATATGCATCTGGTTTAAGGTGACTTTTCCTTTCCCAGCATATGGAGCTGAATGATTATGTTGATTTACATTTATTTTAAATCACAGCCTATTAAATGGAAAAATAAATGCTAATATGTTGATATGGTTTACTTCTGAATGAATTATTGATATGAATGAGTAGTTGCAGCTATCATAATTACTGTTTATTAAATAAATATATTTTGAATTAGAGACCCTTGATTAAGAAATCACATTTTTGTCTGAAAATTGTTTCCCTGCTGTTAGTATAAGAAATACCTCTTATTAGTCTAAATAAAAAAAATTAAAAAAAAAAGATTGGTGAAATGTTTCTATTTTTTATCTTTTCCTTTGCTCTGTGAACTTGGCAGCGCTTTGTGCATATTCCCTTTCACTGCTTCTCTCCTCTAATCAGTTAAGTGAGGCTCTTTCCCCTCTATTGTTTGTGTGGATCTGTCACATAGCACCTAGAGACACAAAAAAACATTTTAAATAGGGAAATGCAAAACACAAAAACTAAAGGATTGAGGATCAGATACCTGAAACTCCTCTCAACATTTTCTTTCAAGCTGAGCACGTTTGATATTAACGGTGTCTCTTTAACATAAATAATGATCTAATGAAATAAATATGAAATCGAAAGAATCATAAAAAGAATTTTACATTTAAGAATGCCATCTGTGTAACACTTAGCCTAACAATGAAACCATTTCAGCGCCAAAACAGCTCGCTCCGCTTCCAGCACAAGTTACAGGAGAGGGTAATGGTTTTGCAGAACAGCATAAAAGTCTGAGTTCAATCGCAGAAGGAACACCTGGGTTCAAACTCGCTGCGCTTCAGACAGACAATGAATCTCGCATGTGAGTTTTGAACTAGACCCTGCTAATGTTTTCACCTCGAGTCACCACGAGTTTTTCACGCGGCTGATGATTTTTACTGCAAGGAAATTTAGTTATCAGAGGGGAAGATTTTGTGGGTCAGCATGAGGGCATCTTGCGACAACTATTACACCGATTCTCTCCTTTCCCACTGGGCAAAACTGTCCCGCAACCCAGAGTCAGTTTTGTCTGACTTCCTTAGAAGGGCACAGGACCCAGAAATGAGACTCCCCTTCAGTATATCTGTAGCAAGGCAAGTTCTGCCCATAAAGCCCTTAGGACTTAACACCAGACCTAATGACAAATTTTAGGACCGGCGTCCTAAGTCACACGATCGTCTGGGCACGCGGTGGGAAGACCCGTGTCACAGGATGGGGATGCTGTTGCATGAACTGGGAAGCCAAGCTCTTGGCGTGTGTCAGGCAGTGCAGCAGAGCCGTGCTGAACACAATGGAGATTGTTTGTTTATACCAGCCAAAGAGAAGGGAACATATTTGTTTTGAGTGAGCTGTGTTAGAATACATATTGTTTTATATGCCCGGGCCTCATTACGGCGTGCTAGTCTTCAATATGGATCAGATCCTAAAACTGCTCGACATACTGAAATAAATGTGAGCTCTACCCACAGAACATCTCCAGACTTAGGCCTCACGTCTATCAATGTCATCTCAAAAAAACAAATGTTCAGAAAAGAAAAACAACAAAAGTATCTTAGAGACGGTGGAGGATGCTCACGTGTGGTAGATGCCATTCAAGGGGATGCTGAGGAATTATTTGGAGAGAGAGAAATCCACGTAACAAGACTGGAGAACAGAGTGAGCCTGAAAGAAAAGTAGAGATAATTAAGGTTCGCTGCAAGAAATATGACTTGTACCAGTCGGGTTTGTATTTCAGAAGCTATTCTGAAACCGAGAGGAAATTCTTCCTTCTCATCAGAGATGCGACCGCATTAACATATCCTCAGGCAAAGTAGCCATAGCCCATATTTTGCTTAAAGATATAATCATGAGAGCATCCACAGAGGAAGAGTTAAAGCGCTGTTCAATAAACAAGCTGAAGTGCTGTACGCTGTATTCATATAAGTGAAGGTATGAGCCAACGGAGAGAGATGTTCAGCTGCAATCAAAGAGGATCTGAGCCTAACTGAGCGCTCACATGACAGTTGGGATCATTTCGGATCCCTTCCAATGAAGATAAAATAGCATCAAAAGCAGGGAGGCTTTTTTTCTTTCTTTTAAGGATGAAAACACAACATCATTAGTCAAATTTACTCTGAACTTCCACCTCCTCATGTTGATTTGTACTCAGGTTGAGTAAACATATCTTTCCATCAAGGTAAATAAATGTAAAAGCCTATCAGTAACTTAATTGCTTAACGAAGGATGCAGTGTGGGGTGTAACACTGTTTTTGACTATACTGTTGAAGTTAACGACCTCTCAAAAACACCTATTATACAGCTTGGCGGTAAAAAAATCCGTTCCTCCTTGAGATTTTGCAAATAAAATTTCAATCATTTTCCAATCATTTTTTCCTAGTGTTGGGGAGGGGGTGGAAACCTCTGAGGCCAATTTTCCAGGTGGACTGATGTAAAATGGAGTTTATTCATTTGAAACGCCGTCCTTTGCGGGCCTGCGGGCCACAGGGAAATTTAGCTCGAGAGAAACAGGGAGCCCACAGTAAGGGCAGAAGTTACACGGCGTGGGGGAAATCTCTCCAAATGAAAATGGCCACGATACTGAGCGGGACCATTCGCTGGGGTGGGTGGGGGGATCAGCCCACGGGTGTCAGGCAGGAGCCTGATCACAGATGCGTAGCACACACCTAAGGACATCTGGGAATGTGCCCTCCTCTGTCCTTGCACACCTAGTGCCCTGGATTGAGAGGACCCGCGGGAGAAAGCAGTTGTTCCCATTAAAATCGAGCCGTTTAATAGAGGTGCAGGCAAAATCAGCTCTTCGGTGAGAGGACAGCGAGGGAGGAGGGTATGCCACGCGCCCGAGATCGAAATCTGGCTCACGGTGGGCAGGCAGGCAGAGTGCAGAGGCAGAGCTGCCAGCCTGACGTGATGGATCAGAAAAGCTACTAAGGAGCTGCGAGAGTCCAGGCAACTGAAGCAAAGCAAAACACAAAAAGGCAATAGGTCAGCCCATCTTTACAATCTATCAATTAAACAATCATCCACTTCCAAAGGCGTATGATGTTCTAAGCAGTAGACATCCCAGCACATGATCGCTACCGTGATGGAGGGACAGGCTTACCAACAGGAATTAATAATAATAATTACTAGGAACGCTAATAATTTTGGATAGGTGGTTCTGTAGTGAACCCCTCTGAGGAAATAAGACGGTTGGGCATTTTGGCTTAATTCTATAGTCCCCTATCAGCTTTTCTCAGCCCGCTGGAAAACAAAGGTGTGTTCAAAATTGTCCATTACGTGGGAGGGTTTCACCAAAATCTCACCCTCCTTCGGTTAGTCAGCAGTGGCGAGTGCTGCGGAGTCGCCTTCAGCTGCTTTTTCCAAAACCCCGAAGCTTTCAGAAACATTCATTTCTGCTGGCATCACTCAACAGATCATTGTTAGGATTTGTGCTCATTGGCATGCATGAACTGAGACTGATGTACGGGGCGATCCAGAGTGACAGCCTTCAGCCCCAAAAGTGGATACCTGCCTGCCTTAGAGCCTGGGGACTCACACTTGACTCGGAAGGATATACGCAAAAATTATCTTTCCTCTCTCATTTGCCTGTGTTAAGCCTAAGCGTATTCATCCAAATTAGCAATCAGGCAAACTGTGCATGCAGAAATCTGCACTTGTACAAACTGTGCATTTTTTTTTTTTTTTGTAACATTCCAAGATTAAATATCTTGACAAAAGATGAAAACCCTTTAACAAATCTGCCCCTAGAGAAAAGTAACATTTTTTTATTCCATTTACTGTCAAACGACATAAAGAAAGTATAGCTGAACACAATCCTATAGGTTGATTTGTTGCCTTAAATAATGTCACTAACATCCAGATATCAATGTGATGTTGCAGAAAAAAAAAGTTCACATTGAGCTAGATTCAATTACAAACCTAGAAACTGAAATTAAGTCTGATGCTACATGCTTAATTCATGTTTGTGTGACTGAGAAAGGGAGTATCTGGTTTACCTTGAATTTCCTCCCTTAGCGTGGTGAAAACATGACCCATCACATTAATTAAAAAATAGTTTTCAAATGTAGCTTAGGTGGTATTGCACTGGCAGGAGGAGACAAACACTTTTTTGTCCTCAACATGTCATATGATATAAAGGAAGCTGTTCAACATGGTTTTCCTCGATTCTTAGGTAGGTCTTACAGTTCTCATTGAAGAGTTGGAAAAAAATATGATGACCTCTCACAGTGAGAAGCCAAAGATTCTTCTTTAATAAAAAAATTAAGCATTTGTCCCTCAAAACTCATAATCCTCTTCTGACCACACAGTTTGAAACAGGTGCGCATAGGCGATTACCACGCACATTATGCCGGTCTATACTTATCTCATTTGGGTATTACACCCAGAATGGTATGTTCATGTTTAATACACCAAAATACTCTATCGTATCAGTGGAATTTCAACCAGCACACATTTGACTATTGACTTCACATATGGGGCTGGGACTAACTTTTCTCCTAATATGGTGATGGCACAGGCACTATTTAAATGATTCCTGAGCCTTGTAAATATACACCAGATGTATCTTTTGTAAATGTTACATTTTTCAACATCTCAGCATTTGTGAATAGTTGAAAGCGATGCCAGCCATGCTTTAATGGGGCACAGAAGCGTACTGCATTCAAAGAAATGGCACACCATTGCAGCAGTCAAAATTACAAGTGCTGTCAAAAAGCTACATTCTCGCTTTATTGATTAGCACCAGGTAAGGCAGCGCTCCGCGTCACACCCTCACACGTGCCCATGTCAGCTGCTGTTTCCCTGCCCACGGGCACACAGAGGGGGCTGTGGAGCTCTCGGGGCTGCCCCCGGGGCAGGAGAAGGGCAGAGCCCTGAAGAGCCAGATGTGGCCCCCCCCCCCGGCCACCCGGGTCGGCCAGAGGTGGAAGGGGAAGGGGTGCGGGGGGAGCTGCTGCTCCTGCGGCCGTGGTCTCCACCCGTTGCCAAGAGGCGACCCCAGAGATGCGCCCACCTTCCCAGGGCCGGGGAGGAAGCAGTGCCCACCTTTCCCAGCAGCACTGATGCTTTCCGAGCCCACGGTGTGTTTTCCCAGCGGCTCGGGCTCCTGCTGCGTGGTCCTTCCTCCTTGCAGGGGTAACTCAGCGCAGGGAAGGACATCTTCCCCTTCGGGACCTCTCCTGGAGCGCAGGGCGAATTCATTCAGCCGTATGAAGCAGCCACCTCCTGGGCTTTTCCAGGACCCCTTTTTTTCCCCAAAAAACTTTTCCTGGCTTTCCTGCGTCACCCCAGAAATCTCACAGAAGACCCGGGAGCGTGTGTGTGACGGTCTGTGGGGAACGTCCTCTCCGCACTTGTTACCTCCTGGCTCTTGCCCTCCCCCTCGCCACCGCATCCCGACCGCCCCGGTGGTCTCCCTGTTAGCACCAGGCAGTAAAAGGTGCCGTCAGAAAACCAGCCATCACATTCGCCTCAAAACGCACTTCTCCTTTGCGGGATTCGCCCCCCCAGCTGTCCCACAGGTAAGAGGAAAGGCCTTTGCAAAGTTGCACAGTTACTATTATTTGCAAGGCAGAGGGCTTTTTTCTCCCTGAATTTTGTGCTGGAGTTGCACGGTGCGCCTCAGTCCAGCAGAGCAGCTCAAATCAGAGCTAGGTGACACATGACAATAAGCGTAGAGGGAATGGACGAGATGTAATGCCCCACTACAAGTATTATTTCCAAGTTCACAGGCTTGCAAATTAAAACGTCCCTGGATCGCTGCCATAAAAAAGAACATTAAAAATCAGGGGAAGAGGTCTGGGCATCTGTTAGAAGCATCTAATATGTACCAAATGTGTATGCTGAGCTTCTCAGATATATGCATTGTTGAAATGTAGCCTACAACTAATGCAAAAGCAGAAATATTTTAATTGTATTTTTCCATTTGATATTCAAATCAAAAAAATATATCTTATTAAACACAACACTTGGCTTTGCTATTTTAATAAAAAAATAAGTTGTTGAGGAAAAGAAAAGCAAAACTACTGATTCCTTTCCTTATGATGATCAAATGAGCCTTTCATGTTTGTATCTTATACTTCACTTTTTAGCATTTTGAGGCAAATAGCAGATATCAAAACTTAGTAAATAATCAAAGACTTATTCATTTTTTCCAAACTGTCATGCTGCTTATCTCGTAACAACTGATCTCTTAGGTAGCATAAGCTATTTAATTGCTACTGAAGATTATTTGAATGAAAAAAGAGATGGCGTTCTCCCTTACCCCTCAAAAAGACAAAACTATATTCTTCAAAAAGACACATGCCGACAGATAGATTCTGATCTCTTCTACACACACACAAGTGCAGTAGCTAATTTTACAAGATTTGATAGGAGCTGCGTATCTGAGATTACACCCTGTCCTCCTGACTGCACATTCCACGTGGAAAATGCCTTAATTTGGAAGTAAATTTTGTTGCTGATAAATCCAGACTCTGTAGTCTCTGGGCATCTGAAGAACCAAGCCTATTAAATTATTTCAAAAAGCAGCTAAGTATGCACAGCAACTGTATTTTAAAGGGACTTTTTACAGTGTTGGCAAAGTGCGTATTCATGTATCCCCCCTGACATGATAGACTGTAATGGCTTCGGTCTGTCATGTCAACCATCTGCATATTAAACAG